AAAATCTGGCTGAGCCAACCCAATACAACAAGTGAGGAATCAAGCTGTTAACTGTTTAACGTGTTAAATACTTCCAGTACAGCAGGATAACTGTTAACATTTCAGAAATTTTATATAGAAAACACATACGCTCAGCATTCACAACTTCCCACAGCACAACGGTTTTAGCACTCAACTGACTGGCTTGTTGGATACTGACCATCAAGCTGGTCGCCTTCCAGAAGAAGCAAAATAAAGACTGACAGCTAATGTCAATCTAATGCCATTTTGACCTGGAAGTTTAACTGAAAAAATCAGGAAGGCTTTTAGGACGCTGCCAGGAAAAGCCTTTACCAGTATTGCTACTAATATTCCTCACAACTTCTGCTCACTAGTGTCAGGATATGAGGAGCAGTCGCTCATACATGTTAATACCTATATAGTAAAAAACTAGTAACTTTCAACACAGAAAGAGCAGGTGGAAAATCCAGAGGGGCTCCTGAACCAAAAGACACACTACGACTGAAGTTCACCAGCTTCCATTTGACCACTCCAACCTTTAGCAGGAAATCAAGCTCCTCAAAATGATTTTTTTTTTTAACTGAGCCCCAAAGTGTAGTGTCTTCTCCTCATCTACCAATATGTTGTGCTTGATTTCCTAGGACCTTCATCACCTTTCTGAATTTTCTATTTTCCTGCTACAGTCCACCCATTAAACCTAAATGGATGCTTTGCATCTCACCCTCATCTATCTTTTTAAAAAGGTCACAGGTAAGAAGGACCACTTGAGTGTGGCTATGGCTAATGCAAAGTATTTACTATTCTAAAAGTATACGTCACTTACTTACATTGCAGTAAACGGAAGAATTCTTATCTATTACAGGTAGTTAACTTTCAGAATGGCCAAAAACACTTAGGAAAAATACTGTACGAAGGGTTCTTGAAAACAAAGATAAATTAGCAAGATTAAAAACATCTTTATTTTAAAAACTACCTTGAAAAATACGCAGTTTAAACTGCAGTTTAAATTCAGTTCAGAACTGGGGTACAGGGAAATAACCACAGCTGAGAAAAACCTGAGCCATACGGTTTTCAAGTGACATTTCAGTCCTGGTTTATCTTTCTTGAGGCAGCTTCCTGAAAGGTTTCATGCAAGACAAGAATCAAGGTGTTCGTTTATTTTAGATTCCAAAACCTCAGCCTGGCAAACAGGACAAGTGACTTTTTTATCCTGCCTTACATCTGTGCTGGAACTTGCGGAGGACGCTGCAGATTCAGCTTTGGTTTTCATCGGGGTATCTGTACTTACAGCGATGTCAGAACTCCCTTTTTTAATGAAATAGTTCTCAAACGCAGTTTTCCATTTTTCTATTTTTAGCCATTGCTGAAGCATATTAGTACACTCAGAACTTTTTTTCTCATGTGCACTCTGAGTTGTCGTTGTCTGCTCAAGACGAATTTGTTTCGCTGGCCTGTCATAAGATGGCATAGTCCTCTTGCCATTTGCAGAACCCTCGTTTGATTTTTCTTCCATAACACGAGGAATTTTAACAGGCAATCCGCCAACATTTTTGTAAGCTTTTGTGTTAGCAACAGAGAGTGTAGGAAACTCTCGCTTTGAAGCTAAGTTGATTTTCTCACTGGCATCATCAGTATGAAGTGGGAAGAAGATGCCACTACGGGGTGATTTTTCAAATTTTATCTCATTTTTTGGGATTGGTATTGTCCTTACTGCTGAACGATGCTGTGAACCAGGTGTTTCACTGTTTCTACCACTGCTGCTGGAACCTGTGCTTTTTTCTGAGAGCCCACTGTCTCCTCCTCCAAGCCGGTATCCATTTCCACTAAAAGGCATCGGATCTTGCCTATCATGCATTAGTGTCTTGCCTGAAAAATAAGAAGAGAAAAAAAATAACTTTTTCCATATATAAATCACGGGCTTAGCATTTTAAGTGTTTCGCTTGAAAAATCCGCTGCTGAAAACAGTGAAGCAAACTAAGTCTTTTGCAAACAACTGAGCTGAGAAGGAGCCTAAAAATGGGCTCTGTTCTTTTTTACAGTAAAATCACACAAAGCTCACACACTGGCTTGATCAGTTTTTCATCAAGGAACTGTTTGGACAAAAACATCTTGGAAAAGAAAAATATAATTATCTTAAATACCTTTGCTAGTTGGCTGAGAATCTGGATGTTTCACTGGCTGAGTTTTTTCCTTGGATTTCTTAGAGAAGTTCTCTGGCTCCTTCACTTTTATGAATGTACCTCCACAGGTCTGTTGATGCTCGGCCCACCAAAAGTCTCGGGCAGAGGGTGCTCTATTCATGGAACGTTTCACATATCCAAAGTAAGGTTTTCTATTTTGACAGGGGCCATTGCATCGCCACCAGTGCTGGCGGTACAAATCCACCTCATCATGAAAACTATGATATATCTAGGTTTTTTTTTTAAAAAAAAAAAAAAAGAAAAAAGAAAGGCAGTCATCCAGAAAGTTTCTAATAATGCATCTCTAGCTCTACAATATTTTTTAAGTGTATTACTATTTCATTCCTTCCATTACTGCCGCGATTTTTACATTACCAATTAAAAGAGCTGAACTTGTGTACAATTTGATCTACATTTAGCTACCATTAAAACAAAGCTTTTTAAAAGACAGGATATATAGGAATATGACCTGGTCTATCTTACTTGAACTGCAATAAGATCACTTTGAAAATCTATCTACAGTTTCACCCTAAATTACACACTGTTTAGAATGCACTGTAAACAATACCAGTATGGTATTCTCCCTCCAGCTATTATTTCAATTGATCTTCTCAGACACATTATTTGTAAATACCGTCAAGCCATTAGCCTCTACTGATCCACATCTTAACTAGAGCAGACTGCTCTTCCCCCAGCATCATTCTGAACACAGAACTATTCTGTCCCTAATGACATTAAGTTGTTTCAAGTTTAAAACAATAGTTAAGAGAAAAACACTTGGAGCGTATACTCAAAAATTATATACCTAAACTCACCACACCTTCCTCAATCTGATCCCACCATTATCCCCAACAAATTAACGATGGAACTGGCACACGCCTGGATGCAAATTTGTATTGGTGCCCACTGTGGAGTGTCTAACAAGAACATCACTCACACCACACCAGGCTTACTAGAAAACCACATCAGAAAGAAGCCTCTATTAAATTAGGTTAAGTGGATTATGCTTACTGTGACATTGGCTCCAGTCAAGCGGTTAATGCGACGCATGTGTTTGCAGAACTCTGGTCCATGAGATTCACGATCTTTGTCATTATCAGTAACAAAAAGCAGGGCGTGGATCATTTCGTGCAACAGTGTCTGAAACCATGAGATATTTACTGGAATGCATTACATATAGTTTCAAAGTTGAGTTGCAAACTCCTCTGTGTTTATCTTGGCACTGATCTTATTTTCATGCGTTCACATGTCCAGTCTGGGTCATAAAAATATAATACTTATTCTATCAAATTACCCCTAATCCCATACCACCAAAACACGCTGGAGAATATTACTACAGTAAGTGACATTCCAAAAAGGAGAAATCATCCTCAGACTTAAGTCAGATCTTTAAAGAGCTCATCCCCTCTACAACCCAAAAAAGAGAAACTTGTGAGAAGGTTGAAGCTCTCAGCATTTCTGTTCATTAAGCAAATCTGAATGTTGAGCCAAAATAAAGCAGCAGCCCTGACAGAGGCACAAAAGGCCACACAAAGTTATGTTTACCAGCACATCTTATACCCCTAATTTCTGCTGCTGGCCTTTTTACTTAAAACATGAAATTCCAGTCATTTTCTGATTGTGCTTTCAGTCCATGTTTGTTTTTCATATTAGAGGATAATTTAGGAGTTAAAAAACTGGGGTGTTTTTTCCTTATAGTCAGTAAAATAAACAAGTGATTTCAGACTCTTACGCAGAGTTGCCCATTTAGAAACTTAAAGACTACCATGATACTGCAACACAAACTTAACAACAAAACCACCATTATTTTACTCTGTGGAAGTCACTGAATATAAGAATCCCACTATGAAATGTAAAATGTTTGTATGGAGTGTGGGGGAGACAAAATACACTTCACGTGCAGATTCTTGAGCGATCTTCAAATACCTCCACAAGATCCTTCCGTGGTCTTAACTTTAGGAGTGGCTCACTTAGATGAATGGAACACAATCCACCTCTTCCTTCATATTTACACACTCCAGCACAGCTGAAAGAGACACAGAAAGAAAATATGCAAAGCTACTCATTTCTGTTGTACATGAAGAAACTAAGAATTGGAGGTAAAATGCCACTCCCTTCCAACACTTACTAGGCAACTCAGACCATGAAAAAACTTTTATAAGTTAATTGAAAAACTCAACATCATTAAGCAGAAAAAAAAAGAAGTCACAAGTTCCTGAGAATAAAATCTGACTGAACTAGCAAAAGGGAAAACATAGTCTATTAGATCTCTTGCAATTGCTAAACTCAAAGCTACCAATCCTGGAAAGAAAATACATTACAATGGACTGTTCTGAGCTTATCTGTTTAGGACAGAGAACTGTTTTCATCAGAGCTCCTGATGGAGTGAAATAGGTAAAACAAGAGGCTGGAAATTCACAGCAGCTCAACTCAGCTGGCACTTGCTGCAATTTCACTCCTCACCCTTCCCCAAATATTTACTCTTACTGAACCTTCTCAAATCACAGAATCATAGAATGTTTGGGGTTGGAAGGGACCTCTAGATATTATCTAGTGCAACCCCCCTGCCAGAGCAGGATACCCTAGGGCAGGCACACAGGAAGGCATCCAGGTGGGTTCTGAATGTCTCCAGAGTAGGAGACTCCACAACCTCCCTGGGCAGCCTGTGCCAGTGCTCTGTCACCCTCACAGTGAAAAAGTTTCTCCTCATGTGGAGGACCATTGAGAAGAGATTGTCCCCTTCCCCTTGACACTCACCCCTCAGATATTTATATATGTTAATAAGGTCCCCTCTCAGTCATCTTCTTGCAAGGCTACACAGCCCCAGCTCTCTCAGTCTCCCTTCACAGGAGAGATGATCAAGGCCCTTAATCATCCTCTTAGCTGTCTGTTGGACTCTCTCCTGTAGGTCCCTGTCTCCCTCTCTGAAACTGGGGAGCCCAAAACTGGACACAGTATTCGAGGTGTGGTCTCACCAGGGCAGAGGAGAGGAAGTGGAGAATCTCCCTAGACCTGCTGGACACACTTTTCTCAATGCACCCCAGGATCCCATTGGCCCTCTTGGCCACAAGGGCCCATTGCCGTCCCACGGACAACTTACTGTCCACAAGGACTCCAAGGTCTATCATTACTTCTGCATGTTAATCTGGCAGAAAATGCTTGATTTTTAATATTTTGTTTCATTCTGTTAGTCCTCTACTAGTTCAATATCCAAATATTGTCCAGTGTCTAAAGAGTACTGCAGCCAGCTGAGGACCAGTCAGGGAAGGACTCCAGCAGCCAGCACCTGCACTGGCTGATCTGCTGCAGGACTACAGCTTGGACTTCAAAGGTTTTTTAAATTTTATTTTGTATTTTACAGATTTCCTGTATATTGCCCTTCCTAGTCTTCTTTAAGTCTTGCTATTACACTATTATCATTTCATATCTGCCTTTCTGCAAAACGATCGTAAAGCTTGAGAACAAAAAAAATGGCAGCAATACAAGCATATTCCTTCAAGTTTCAACACACGCAGTTTAAGACTAACTTATTTATTCCACTTTAACTTTTCTCTAGTTTTGCTTGCATCAGGGAAAAGCCGTTTATGGTTGCCAAGGACAACAAACGAAGGACAAAAGAGAGAACAACAGTGACCAAATCACATCCCGGGTTACAAACTACGTTAGAAAAGCAGGACATTCGAGTATGGAGAAGAGAGGCTGCGGCACAAGTCCATCGTGCCCAGGCAGCCACAGGCAGGCCCAGCACACACTGACA